CATAACCGAACTTTGATCGAGTCTAAAAATTAAGGCTCTTAATTCAGCCTTTTTATTCAAAATGTTGAACATTTTTGAGGTTGGAAGATTAAGCCTATTGATCGTTTCTATCTGGCACCTTCCCCAAAAACATTGAAATTGTTAATACGTGTGTCAAATTGTAACAAAAACAAAAATATTGGACTAATTGGATTTGTAATTGGATAATCTGCTAGTTGGTTCTTTGTGGGAACTAAATTACAGATATTCGGGTTGAAAAACTGGGCTAGGAAATCAGGCAGACCATTGTATGGGAGCGATGCAATATTCATACAGCTATATGAAAACCAGTAAGGAAAGTAGTAAAGTCGGACGGGGCCGACTATATGATACCCTTCACCACTATGGGTATATTAAACAGAACTATTAACATGAAATTATTTGAAATAAAATATGTGATATTTATCTAAATATGAATCTACTTAGATCTATCCATAAACATGTCATTCGTTTGTTACAATGGGACAAAAGTATGTAAATCGGATTCAAACAAATATCAATTGGTCATCCGTTGGGCTATGTCTGTACTTCTAGAAAACGGCACTACGTAATTCTATGCTCAATTTTGTACGTTGTGCAAAATTTGATGTCAATCTGACCAACATGAGGAGTTTGATGCCCAATTTACTTGAAATCGGGCGAAAATATATATGGAAGCTCTATCCAAATATTAAGCGATTTCAAACAAACTTGTCACAGGTTAGGTTATACTAATTTCAGAACGTTTTGTTCCTATTGGTTCCTTGGAGCGTCAATTACTTAAAATCAATCTATAATAAAAGGAAGCTATATCTAAATCTGGACTGAATTTCACGAAACTTGGCAGGCATCATTCTAGGCTCAATTCAGTACATTATGCCAAATTTCGTGCAAATCGAACGATATATAGGGACTTTGAGGCACCATTTACATGAAATCGGACGAAACTATATATGGGAGCTATATCTAAATCTGGACCGATTTTCACGAAACTTGGTAGGCATCATTCTAGGCTTAATTCAATACGTTATGCCAAATTTCGTGCAAATCGAAAGATATATAAAGACTTTGGGGCACCATTTACATGAAATCGGACGAAACTATATATGGGAGCTATATCTAAATCTGAACCGATTTTCACGAAACTTGGCAGACATCATTCTAGACCTAAATGATTAGGCTGTACCAAATTTCGTGCAAATCGAAAGATATATAGGGACCGTTTACATTAAATCGGTTAAATATATATATGGGAGCTATATCTAAATCTAACCCGATTTTTTCCAATTTCAATAGGGTTCGTCCTTGGGCCAAATAAGTGACCTATGCCAAATTTCATCCAATTCGGATCATAAATGCGACCTGTACTTTGTTCACAATTTTATTCGGACAGGCAAAAATCGACTTAGAAAGTGAGTCTATGCATATTCTCAAAAGGAACCATGTGTCTATCTCGTTTCCTTTTGCCTGTTACAAACATATGCACAACGACATAATACCCTGTACCACAGTGTGGTGAAGGGTATAAAAATTTGCCTTATTTAATGGGTTTTATTTTATGTCCGATATTTCAACTGATTTAACCTTTATTGTTTTTATACCCTTATACCCATGTAGAATGGGTTCTGGCCAATGAAGACCCCTATTGTTTTTTTTGGAAAGATCAGTTAATATTTAGGGGATGAAATGGACCAAATACTTAATTTTTGTCTTATTTTCTAATCGATCCAGAGGCCGCAATTATGGTCCAAACATCGCGAATTTGTACATGGAGAATCGGATCGGGCCAAAGAATAAGCATACCTGTTTTGACAAAGATCGGTCATTATGTAGCGAAAAAATTACATAATGCGTATATATTTACTCATTAAGGACAGAGACCCGCGAAGTTGATCCAAGAGGAGTGCTTGACCTTTAAATTGATATCAACTATATTGTCGTGTGTACTCGGATGTGGGAGTTACACTAAAATATTTACAGGTGCTTACGTATTCAGATATTATATAGTAAACTATTACCACACTAGAGGGCGAAAATACATAGCTGATCGCTTTGAAATTTTCTATGAGGAGCCAGGTATGGCCAAGGACAAGTATATTTTTCGATGATGATCATATTATAATTTTGGAATGATGTGGACCGAAAACTTATTCTTGGTGTTTTTTTAATTGATCTACGTACTGAATATTAGTAAAATTTGTTGACCTCTTGTCGGTCAAGAGGGTGCAAATATCGCGAAATATTGCCCAAGCTCAGAAATACATCGCAGAAAGTTAGATTTTTTTGTAAGTTGTGTAGGGTATCATATGGTCGTCCCCGTCCGACTATACTGCTACGCTCACTGGTTTTATTTTGTATTTCAACAAGTAGGGAAAGCTCAAAAGTAGGATGGGGCCGACTATTTATTTTCTATTTTGGGTTTAACTGCATCTCGGTATCATGACAATATTTGTCATGCCACAGGATCTGTTATTCGCTTCATGTTATGTATTGTAAATTAATTTGAGGCGTATGCGTTATGACAATAGTCATACGCTCCATGTGTGCTATGTGGCGCATACGTTGTGATAATAGTCACACGATCGAAAGGATTAATTATTAATTTGTTATCTTGGGTTCATCCTATGCTTTGCTTTTTATAATAAAACAAATTCAGGCAGTATTTAATTATGAGAATATTGAAGATATTGTGGACAATTTTAAATATAACATATTTTTTATTTATTTCTCTTTCGAGATGAGATATGCAACCTTAGCCACCTCTTTTGTGCAATCTTAGCAAGGGCACAATATGCAGTTGTATACCATAGAAGAAAAAATATTGTAGTCTGAATGGAAAAAAAGTAAATGAAAATTCTGCTCTGAAGAGGGATGTTCTGGTGTATACGTGCTGTCAATACGCTCCAGGGGACCTTCTACTTGCTCAATTTAATGTATTGTCTCTATGTGGCGTATACGTTGTGCCAATAGCCATACGCTCCCAAGGCTTGATTTATTTATTTCAATATTAATAATTCTACTATGAATTATTATTTTAATTTATTATTAGGGGATAGGGGGGCACCTTTGAACACTTTTTTTCTTTCAAGCCGCATAAAATTTGTTATTTTATAATTTTTGGTTTCTTATAAATTGTAAGTAATAGTTACATATATAACCTTTACAATGAATATACATATGACATACTTTAAACTTGATATAAATATTTTATTGCTGTTTTAATGGACAAAGTCAAAGTGTTCAAAACTGCAGTTTTAAATTTCAATTATTCGAAAAATAAATTTGTGGCGTATACATGTTGACGATAATCATACGTTCTAAAGGAACCTTTATTTACACCATTTTATGTTGTCCACCTCAGTGGCGTATACGCTCCCAAGGCTTCAGTTATTAATTTCAATATTATTTATTTTATTATTGTTTTTTTTTGTATTTTTCTGTAATATTTTTATAAATGGAAATAAAACACAAAATTATAATTTTCTTTTTTTGTTTTGGTCGATATCAATCACTAAGGATTATCGGTATTCATTTTTATTTATTTATCATTATTTCTTTTCCTTCAGTATCACATCTTTCAATTTCTGTTTGTTTTCTTGTTGGCAGAAAAATGTTTAGTTTGTTGTTTTTTGGTAACATTACAAAAAAATAAAATTGGTTATATGTTAAGGGAGAATATGTGTGTGTGTCATTTTGTATAGCTATGGGGGTTATAGTTGAAAATACTGTTTAAAAAATTATGAACAAAACTCGTAAAATATTTTAAAAAAATCTTTACAATATAATACAATACGGTTTGTCTGGGTTCTGTAGTTGTTAGTTTAAGGGCTCTATTACTTTTTAGCTACACAAAAAATGGATCATATAAATCCTCCTAACATATAACCCTATAATATCAATATTTATAAAAAAATCCGCTAATGAAAATCATAGCTAAACTATATCTAAGGAAAAAATCGCTGTTTCTTTAAATAAAATCTCTTTTGTTTTCTATTCCTTGTTAAGGGGCGGGAGGTTGAGGGTCGTTGGCCCCTAATCTCAAAAAATTAAGTCTTACTTTTTATTATTTTTTTTTTAGCTACACAAAGTTAGCTGGACGGCATTGGGTTTTGTTTTTTGGGGAGCCTAACTTACATATTGAGGAGATCAACTAACTAAGACGCTCTCTCTCTCCGACTCTCTTTGGCATTTGGAGGGAAAGAGAGAGAGGCCAAATGATTAAATATAAATTATGTTAACCTTATAAATTAACTCATGTTGACATTGCCTTAAATTTAAAAATACAAAACAAAAAAATTAATAAATTCTTCTATACACAAAAAAGATGGCTTAAAAACTAAATAATAAAAAAATTGAGTAGTATTTAAAAAAAAAATCTCTCTCTGGGTGTTGGTTTTGGGGTTACTCACTTAAAAACTAAGTTTTGGGGGTATTAGGGAGTTTGAAGAGATAAATTGTTGCGCTCTCTCCAATGGGAAGTTTTAATCCTCTGGGGAGAGCTTTTGCCAAAAAAAAGTTATTATGCTCATTGTGTGTCTCTCTCACTCTCTATACACTCTCTCTCGGTGTGGGGGTTCAGGGTCGCATGGGGTTTTTTAAATAAAAATCTAAGTCCGTTATTTTTCTTTTTGAGGCCATTATCACGTTGTTGTTTTTTTGTTATTGTTGTCGAATAAAAATCCATAACCGTTAGTATCAGTACTCATTAAAGCCATATAACGTTCTCTCTGTCTCTCTCATTTCACATTCTCTCCTCTCAATTTACTCAATTAACTCTCACATTCAACATCATCAACTGGTTGTACTCTCTGAAGCTTGATCTCTCTCCGAAGGCCAAATTTCGTTTCGTTTTTTACTATTTACACGTCTCTTTTTACTTTGGTTTCCGGCGGGAGATTTCGGCTCTCAGATTGTTCGCTTAGTGATGCTGTTTAGGGAAAAAGAAAAGAGAAAAAATTGCACATTAGTATCGACATTCCGATTTAGTAATACTGATGATGATGGCCATAGCCATGATAACCATAGCTGTGACCGTGATCCACCTCATGATCCTCATGGATGGCCACTTCGTGATGGCCTCCGTAGTGTTGCAGGGGTTCATGGTGATGTTCCTCGATTTTCTTGTGAATAAATTCGGGTTCCTTGTAGGAGATATGCTTCTCATGGTATTCGGGTACATGTTTCTCTAAGTGGACGGGGACAGGCTTTTCATAGGGTACATGGACGGGATAGGGTACATGTTTTTCAACCTTAACTGGGATTTCCTTGACAACGGGATAGGGAGCGGGGACGGGAACCTTAACTTCATAGGGTACTGGTTTCTCGACATGCACTGGCACAGGTCTGTCATAGGGAACATGCACAGGAACAGGGACCTTCTTAATCACAGGCACTGGTACAGGCTTTTCAACATGATAAGGCACGGGCTTTTCAACTGGATAAGGTACTGGCTTCTCAACAGGCACCTTAACGGGATAGTGGACAACCTTCTCAACTGGATATGGTTTCTCGACGGGCACATGGACCTTCACTGGATATGGGACCTTCTTCTCCACTGGATATGGTGCTGGAACATGAACCTTAACAGGCACATGCACTTTCTTCTCTACTGGATATGGTGCTGGCACGTATACCTTTACGGGGACTGGACGATCATAGGGTACATGTACTGGTACGGGAACTTTCTTCTCGACAGGATATGGAGCTGGAATTTCATGTGGCACCTTAACTATTTCCTTAACCTCATAGGGTACATGCTTAACCACAGGATATGGTTTGGGCACTTTCACCTCAACGGGGAAGGGTACATGTTTCTCGACGGGAACATGGACATGTTTTTCCACAGGTACTGGGTAGGGTACCTTCTTGACAATAGTTAAAGTTTTCTGCTCATGTATCGGATACGAATGATGGTGATAATCTTCGAAATGATGGAGACCACGTTTTGTTTTTGTTGTCTCATCGGTACCATCGGATGATTTTTTCTCATCCTCAGCTTTGGTTTCGATTTTTTTATCCTCAGCTCCGGCTGGTTGCTTTTCTTCTTCGGCATGGACGACTACCAGTAGTAGTGCCGCCAGCAGAAATGCTGTACGCTGTTTGGGGAGAGAGGAAGAGAGAAAATAGAAATGAGAATAAAACTGAGAAATAAATGGACGAAAGAGGGTTTAACATATCAGAGAAGATGGATTTTAAATTCGGCAAAAGGTCACTAGCAAAAAAGAAGTGGAATTTTGGTAGATTTTTTTTAAGATGAGATTCTGAATATGAAAAACAAAATTGATCGGAAATTCTCTATATCTGATAAACTATTTGAGGTTGTATAGCTAACTCGGAATCCATTTTTCTAATTTTTGAGTTGGCTTCCAGAAAGTATGGAGTGTTATTGGAAGTTCGGATTTCGCAGTTGGCTTCCTGAAGAAATGACGTTTTATTGGAAGTTCGGAACACAAGAGAAGGTATTTTTAATAATATTGAAGGCTAACGATCGAAAATCAATCAAAGTTTTTTTTTTTTTGAACTACAATTTTTGAGGAGATTCTAGGAGATTTGGTATTGGAAATATTTCATATCGGTCCACGTTTTGGTATAGCATCCATATTGCGCTTTCCGCACAACTATCGGTCTTTTGAAAGGGTTTAGCCATATTTTCAAATCGAAGTGGTTGTAAATTGGCACAGCAGGGTTTTGAGTCAGGCATATACATCTATGTTGAAAATTACCAATGTAGGTCAATATTTTCGCATAGCTCCCGTATAAGGGTTCCGACCCTCATAACTCCCACATAGAGATTCCGCTGCATTTTTGGTATTTTGAAGGATTTGGCCTGATGTGCCCACTGAAATAGATGTTATTTGATATTCCTAGTTGTTGGAGGATCACATATATATCTATGTAGAAATTATCAATGTAGGTCCATATTTTGACATATGTCCCATATAAGGGATCCGAACCATTTTCGGTCATTCTTAAGGTCTGAAATGGTTGTAACGTGACATTCAGGGTTCTGAAGGTTAAACAACATCTTTGCAAAAAATTGCCGATTTAGGTCCATGTGTGGAGATAGCTCCCACATAAAGGTTCCGCCGCAATATTTGGTATTATGAAGGATAAAGCCTCATTTGCTCATCCCGAATTTTTGATATCCCGAGTTTTTGTAGTCTCACATATATTTTTGTAAAAATTATCAATGAAGGTTCATATTTTGACATAGGTCCCGTATAAGTGTCCCGAACTATTTGCAGTCATTTTATAGATGCAATGTGACTTTTAGGGTTCTTGAAGGGTAAACACCATGTACCGCACCGAATTGTCAGCATTTGGAAGGTTTTACACATATTCTCGTAACGAGATGGCTATAATTGACATTCCAGGATTTATGAAGGTGATACACAACTTTGCAGAACATTTTCTATACAGGTCCAAATAGAAAATTTCCTGTATCGGTTCATATATTCACACAGACCTCATGGTCCCGTCTCCATTTTTTTGGATCTTGAAGGTTTTACCCACAACCGATGTGGCTGTAATTTTGGTTCATGCAGGGTAATTCAAGTTATTAAAGATCAAAGCAAAATCTTTGCAGACAATTTCTAATATCAGTAGATTTTTTGACACAGTTCCCCTATATAATTGTCCTGCTACATAATCGGGATTTTGAAGGTTTAACCGAAATTGCTCTTTAAGTGGCAGCAATGGGGTATTCGGGGCTCTTGCATGGTAGGAAAAATATTTTTTTGCAGAAAAACAGATCCGAACAGAACAGAATGACAGATCCCTGTTTTGATATAGCCCTCATAAAAAGGTCGGATTTTAAAGGTCTTCGCCTCAATTCCCCAAAAAATGGCTGTAATTTGCCATTCCAGGTTCTTGAAGAGCGAAGCAACATCACTGCAGAAAATTTTGCAATATCGGGTGATTTTTTGACATTGGTCCGCTTAGAAAGGGTTTCCCTATTTTCGGTATTTTAAAGGTCTTGACCACATTTTTAGCGATGATTCTTATTGCAGTGGATGTTATGAGGCATTCAGTGTTCTAGAATTGGGAGAAATATCTCTGGAGAACATTTTTGATATAGGGCCACCTTTTTGATATAGCTACTGTTTCTCAAAGTATTTTGAGAATTTTGGACATATTTTTCAACCAAATTGGATGAAATTTTGGGTTTTTGGTTCTCATAGGGCAGAAAATTTCTCTACCAAAAAAATTTCAATATTGGTTCATCTTTCGTGGTAGCTGCCATATAAGGGTACCTGCGAAGTTTCGATATTTTGGTTAGTTTTGGTCCAATTTGCAACCGAATTGACTGTAATTTTATATTTCAGGTTCTTATTAGGTATCGTTCTGATTGAGAATCGAATCTTTTTACCAACAATTATGAAAATTGGTCTTCTTTGTAGGGTAGCACCCATATAAGGTTACCTTCGAAGTTTCCATATTATGGGGAGTTTGGGAACATTTTGCAACTGAATTGGCTGAAATTTGTTACTTTGGGTTCTCATAGGGCAGAAAATCTCCCTACCAAAAATTATAAACATTCATCCTCTTTTTAGGGTAGCCACCATATAACAATAGCTTCGAAGTTTCGATATTTTGAGGAGTTTAGGCACATTATTCAACCGATTTGCGTAGGAATTTTGAGTAACGGATCTTCTTACCAAAAATTGTAAATATTGCTCTACTTTTAAGGATATCCACCTTTATAAAGGTGGATAGCCCGCATAAGGGTACCTTCGAAGTTTTGATCATTTGCCGATGTAGAGGCTCATTTTTCAATCGAATTAAATGTAATTTGGTATTTTGTGATCTCATTGGATAACGAATCTTTTTACCAAAAAGTATAAACATTGGTTCACTTTATAGGGTAGCCCCGCATATAAATGTACCTCCGAAGTTTCTATATTTTGGGGAGTTTAAGGCACATTTAGTACCCAATTTGGCTGAAATTTAGAATTTTGGATTCTTTTTGGGTAGAGAATCTTCTTATCAAAAATTATCAACATTGGTTCACTTTGTAGGGTAGCACCCATAAAAAGTAATACTTCCGATGTTTCGATATTTTGGGAAGTTCAAAAATTATCAACATTGATCTCCTTTTTAGGGTAGCCTCAATATGAACTAATTTTTCTGACTGTAATTTGTTATTTTGGTAGTCCCCATATAAATGGCATCTCTGAAGTTTCGATATTTTGGGGTGTTTGGTCACTTTTCTGCAACCGAACTGGCTGAGTTTTCCTACTAAAAATTATTAATAAGAGAAATGTTCCAAATATTTTGGGAAGTTTGGGCACATTTTTTAAACTAATTTTTCTGAAATTAGAATTTTGGGCTCTCTATGTGTATCGAACCTCTCAAATGATCAATATTGATGCCTAGTTCTCATATAACGAAATCTCCCATATTTCCAAAAAAAAAAAATATTGGAAGGCTTGGATTTTTTTTAAGTATTTTCAGGGACTTATCATTGAGTTGGATTTTTTTAAATCAATGACCTATCTTTTTGTTGAATTTTTTAAAAACTATTTTCAGGCTTCTACATTGGGGTTGGATTTTTCAAAAAATATTTTTTTAAGAATTCACAAGGGGTGGATTTTTTTTAAATATTTTTTCAAAAATTCACAAGGCGTAGATTTTTTTAAAATATTTTTTCAAGTATCCACAAATGCTGTGGATTTTTAAAACTATTTTCATGGACCTGGGGTTGGATTTAAAAAAAGATTTTTTGAATATGGCAATTGTTGATTCCGAACAAGGGAAATTGTAAGGGATTATTGTTGGGATACAATTTGGCCAAATATTGGTGATGTTAAGAGCTTCGAAGTTAGTTCTGAACAAGTGGCCTTGATAAGGATTACATTTGTAGGGAAATTTATTCAAGAATCCATGATATTAGGACCACATATTTAGACCTGCAAATTGGTCAATTTTTTTTTTAATTTTTTAAAGAATTTACGACATTGGCAACTTTTATGTAGGGGTATTTTTGAGGTTATTTAGTTCAAGAAGCGCACATATTGGGAGCTTTTTTATGGCGGATATTATAAACGGGAAACCGATATTGTAAAGGGAAATTGTAAGGGATAATTGTTGGGTTAACATTTGGCCAGATATTGGTGACATTAGGAGCTTCGAAGTTAGTTCTGAACAAGTGGCCTTGATAAGGCTTATTTATTAAGGGAAATTTATTCAAGAATCCATGATATTAGGACCACATATTTAGACCAGCAAACTGGTATTTTTTTTTTTAATTTTTTTAAAGAATTTACGACATTGGCAACTTCTATGTAGGGGTATTTTTGAGGTTATTTAGTCCAAGAAGAGCACATATTGGGAGCTTTTTGAAGGCGGATATTATAAACGCGTAACCGAAATTGTAAAGGGATAATTGTTGGCCTATATTTGTCCAAGAATTGGCGATATTAGGAGATTGTTTTAGTTCTTATTATGGGTCAAATTATTGGAAATTGTTGCTCAAGAAATTGCGATATAATTTAAATGGAACAACTTCTGGTCCTGAGAAACGATAGTTATAAGGAATGTTCTTCGTAGAGGTAAATCTCTCGTCTAAACGTCTAACGACAATTATAAAGCGATTCTTGTTGAGCTAAATTTGTTCAAGTATTAGGAGCTTGTGCTAGTCCTGAATATGCAATTTTAAGTTGTATTTTTTGACCGTAATTATTTCATGAAGTGACTTTAGTTTGGTCTTCTTCTGGCTCTGAATATGAATCATTTATATTGTCGCCATGACATTTGGATCTCTCTTTAGGAATATATATATATATATAATATGGCTTAAATATGGCAACCTTTGGTTTCGAGACACGAAAATTATAAACGGGTATATTTGGAGCTTAATTAGTCCACAAGAAGCGACGAAGGAAGTTTATCCTTTAGAGCAGAATTTTGATTAATTTTATCTGCTCCTTTTTGGATTTTTTCCAATAGCTTTGGAGAAGTCTCCATGAGAAGACAATAGGGTCCAATCTAATTTGACCCATAAAGGGAAAACTATTTTTTAATTATTTCCTGTTACATTGGTCGCAGGATATCCTTAGATTTCCTCAAATCCGTAAATCCTTAAACCAGCTGCAGACTTCTTTTGGAATTTAAAAAAAAATATTTGGACCATTTTTTCCTCTCATCCTTGAGACGATTTTTGAATTCAATTCCATCTCTTGTTTTCTGTTAATCCACACTTCGTTGCTTGCGATGTCCTTTTTCACATTTTTTTTTCTTTTTTTAATGTTCCTTCTTTTACTCACCATTAACTTCATGGTGTTTTTAGTCTATTTGTTTAGCTTAGTTAGTATGAAGTAAAGCAACTAGCCACAAAATATCCACACTGGAAAAAAAGTATCCTTTTTTGTATATAAATTACACAGTAATGCTGATTACAGGGCAGGAACACAACGATACACATGAAATTAAAGAGAGAGAAAAACAAAAGACTTAAGTGACAAACTTGGTGGTGAACAAAATTATTTTAAAAATTGTTTTTTTTTTTTTAATTTAAAATTGTCTTTTTGGTAATGTTTTTCGGGATTTCTATTGTCGTTTTTTTTTTTTTTAAATTTTTTTTATTTTTTTTTATTTTTTTTTTTTTTTTTAAAAATTTTTTTTTAATTTTTTTTTAAATTTTTTTTTATTTTATTTACTTTATGTATCCGAGCCGCACGTTTAACGTAAGGAACGCACACGTTAAATAGATTTTGAGAAAATCTGTGCTAGTTTGCTATGTTGTCTATAGCTGCACAGTTAACAATTAAATGATACCATTCAAACGCTTAGCACTAACTTTTATACGAAAAGTTTCGAAAAAACCGAAACCCCGAAAAATGAAAAAAAAAACAGAAACAAATTTACGCTTAGGCAAAGCAAACGGACTACGCTGTTAGTAAGCAAAGTAATCAAATGAGCGGTAACGTAACGCAATCCAAATAAAAAACTGCCATGGTGATGCAGCGGTTTTGCAGAGGAGTCAGGCGAGGAGGGGGTCTGACTACAGCTGGGTCATACAAAGATCCCCCCGAAAAAACAAAAACAACCACATTGAAAACGTTACAGGTCGTTTAATGTAGAAAAAGAAACACAAGACAACAGCAACAACAACAACAACAACATCATCGTGCTGACTAAAAGAGACGGGGGCCTGGTTTTTCTTCATATGCTGTTGGCGTTGTTTTTGTTGTAGTGGTGGTTATTGGCGGCAAGCAAAAGCTAAAACCCAAAAACCTAAGAAGCTTGAATAACCGAATACAAATTACAGCGTATGTATAATAGCAGCCGCAGCAACCCCACCACCAGTTAGTACAGGTAGTAAGACGGGTTAAAGCTTCAACCAAGAAAATAACAAAAACAACAACAATTACAACAACCAAAATATTGGCATGGCCCCCCAAAGAAGCCTTAGCTTGGCCGTTTTTGGTGTTAAGAAAAACCTGGCTGGCTAGCGAAATGAAAATGCAAGTTTTCAGAAGGCCCAGAGTTTTCCGAATAAAATCAAAATATTATGAAGAAAAATTAGATGGAGGCTAAGAGGTGGGGATCAGAGAGAGGGAGAGGGGAGTCTTCGGCTCTTCATAAACCAAAAAAAGGTGCACAAAATCCACACACCAACGCCACTATAACATTATGTAGAAAAACAAGATGGGGGGACCAAGACGTGAGAAGAGATCAGAGAGAGAGGAGATCAGAGAGAGGGGAGGTGGAAGGAGATCAGAGAGAGGGGAGGTGGAAGGAGATCAGAGAGAGGGGAGATTTCGGGTCTTCTTAACCCAAAAACACAAAGTAGGCACCCCACCACCACCAACGACAAGAAAAATCAAAATATTATGAAGAAAAATTCGATGGGTGCCCCAGAGGTGGGAGGAGATCAGAGAGAGGGTATTGTTCGGGTCTTCTTAAACCAAAAAGTTGCACAAATACGGCACCCCACCACCCCATCTCAGCTCCAACCTCTACATTAACGGCGTTAGACCATACTTGGTGAAGACTAACACATTATTGTGGCAATATGATTTGGTTGTTGTAATTCTGTTGTTGTTGTTGTTGTGGCGGCATCAAGCCACCACTAAATGCAACAAAAATAACAACAACAAAAAGTGTGTCTTGCCATCATCACTCATATGCCAAAAAAATAAATACAAAAAAAAAAAAAAATGATTACATTTTGTCTAGGCACGTTGCATGGATTTGTTGGTAATTTAAAACTAAATCAAAGCATAAAATATTGTTTTTGTTTTTGTTGGGGCACCAAGTGAGGCAACAACAGTAATAAACTCAAAAAAATTTACTAAAAAAATAAAAACACCAACAAAAAATCCAAAAATAATAACAATAATGAACTGTGCCACAACAGCGGCAACAAAACGACACAACAATGGTGATGGCAGCAGCAGCAGCAGTCGCCGCCAAACAAAACGTGCAACAATTGCTGTTGCATATACATTATTAACGCCAACACTTCTTTGGAGTAGTCGACAGCTGTTCGGCTGCCCATTAACCATCATTGCAGCATGAAAAAGTGCGAAAATGTAACAACACTTCTATTGGAGGCTTTTCATTTTTGTTTTTTTGCACTACCTCCAGCTAGTCATCCAGTCATCCAGCCAGTCAGACGTGAACAGTGATGATGAGGCATTGTCTTAATGCATTTCCCAAAATAACACTTCAAAAGTAACTACTGTAATTAGAAGGGGCCTTATTAAATGGGGCGGGCTGAAGAAAATAATATGTGTCATGGAAAACAAACTGTTTTGAAGGGGGTTTTTGAAATCATTAATGAAATAAAATCTAGGTTTTTATGGACCCTAGAGAAATATACCTTGAAAAATCAACGCCTCACATAGACCTTAAAAATTATTTGAAAAAATCCAGGTTTCAATGTTCCCTTATATAAATATTCCTTTTTAAAAATCTACTCTATCAAAAAACCAGTAAGAAAAGTTCAAAAGTCGGACGGGGCCGACTATATGATACCCTTCAACACTTTGGATACATGCAAGACATGTTAATATCGACAATATCCTGTAGATAGAACGGCCATAGAATCTTTGCAGGATCACTGAGATGGAATCGGGCGAAATAAATGTGCTATGTAGATAGATATTTGAACCGATTGAAAAACATCGTACACATACCATTCTGAAATCAATGAAAATTTGATTTCAATTTTATACCCTCTGCCAAATTTCGTGTAACCACCAGTTACATAAAATCAAACGAAAATATATATAAGACCCATATCAAAACCTGAAACGATTTCAGCAAACGCATCATTTTTTCTCACTAACATTCGCTATGCAAAATTTTACTCAATCAGACAAATATTGGGAGTTTGGTGTATCATTCACAAAAAATCGGACGAAACTATATATGTGAGGTATATCTAAATTTGAACCGATTAAAAAAAAACTTCGCAGACATCAGTCTGGATCTAATGCAGTACTCTGTGCAAAATTTTGTCTCAATTGGAAAAATATTGGGAGTTTGATGCATCATTCACAAAAAATCGTACGAAACTATGTATAGGAGCTATATCTAAATTTGAACCGATTTAAAAAAAAAAAACTTCGCACTTCAGCCTGGATCTAATGCAGTACTCTGTGCAAAATGTTGTCCCAATCGGACAAATATTGGGAGTTTTGTGCATCATTCACATAAAATCGGACGAAACTATACATGTATATCTAAATCTGAACCGATTTTAACAAAACTTCACAGAAATCAGTCTGGACCTAAATCAGTACTTTGTGCAAACTTTTGTCCCAATCAGATAAATATTGGGGGTTTGGTGTATCATTCATCAAAAATCGGCCGAAACTATATATGGGAGCTATATCTAAATCTGAAATGATTTTAACAAAACTTCGCAGACATCAATCTGGATCTAATTCAGTACTCTGTGCAAAATTTTGTCTCAATCGGTCAAATATTTGCAGTTTGGTGTATCATTCACCAAAAATCGGACGAAACTATATATGGGAGCTATATCTAAATCTGAACCGATTTTCCGGAAACTTAACACATATCATACTAGAACTAATTCAGTACGCTGTACCAAATTTCGTGCAAATCGAAAGATATATAGGGACTTTGGCACCATTTACAATAAATCGGACGAAAATATATATGGCAGCTATATCTAAATGTGGACCGATTTGCACGAAACTCAACACACATCATTTTAGACCTTATTCATTACGCTGTGCCAAATTTCGTGCAAATCGAAAGATATAATATAACTTTGGTACACTATTTAGATTAAATCGGACGAAAATATATATGGGAGCTATATCTATATCTGGACCGATTTTCAGGAAACTTAGCACACATCGTTCTAGACTTAATTCAGCACGCTATGCCAAATTTCGTGCAAATCGAAGGATGTATAGGACATTGACACACCATTTACCTTAAATCGGTCGAAAATATATATGGGACCGATTTTCACAAAACTTGGCAGACATCATTCTAGGCTCAATTCAGTACATTATAACAAATTTCGTGTAAATCGAAAGATATTTAGGGACTTTGGTGCACAATTTACCTGAAATCGGGCGAAACTATATATGGGAGCTATATCTAAATCTGAACCGATCTTCACGAAACTTAACACACATAATTCTTGGCCTTTTTTAATACGCTATGCCAAATTTCCTGAACTGATTTTTACGAAACTTGTCAATCATCATTCTAGACCTTATTCATTACGCTGTACCAAATTTCGTGAAAGTCAAAAGATTTCCAGGGACTTTAGTGGGCTATTTACCTAAAATCGGGCGAAGCTATATATGGGAGCTATATCTAAATCTGAACCGATTTTCACGAAACTTTGCATATATCATTATAGACTTAATTTAGTACGTTGTGCCAAATTTCGTGCAAATCGAAGGATATATAGGGACTTTGGTACACCATTCACATTAAATCGGTCGAACATGTGTATGGGAGCTATATCAAAATTTGAACCGATTTTCAAGAAATTTTACACACATCATTCTACACTCAATTCAGTACGATATGCCAAATTTCGTGCGAATGGGTTAAGCAATCAGGGCGAGTCGTCCTGATGGCCCCATGTTGTCTAGGGCCACAAAAATTTTCAGAAGGGTTAAGGAACGCCTAAATAAGATCCCAATAAAAAAAAATAACTAAAAAAGCTTAACCCATTCGAAAGCTATAACGAATTTACTATGATTGTTTTAGATAGATTATCATTTGAGCATGGATTTAAATATATATATTATTTTAATGTGTATATAATTTAGAGTTC